CCCCCCCCCCCCCCAGCCCGTGCACGTGGTGGTGGCCACGCCCGGCCGCATCCTTGACCTGGCCAGCAAGGGCGTGTGCAAGCTCAACAACTGCCGCGTCCTGGTCATGGACGAGGTGGGCGGTGACACGCTCCTGGGGCCATGCGCCAAGGGGCTGCCATGCGCCTAGAGACATCCGTGCGCCGCTGCCTGGTCCCCAGTTGCGTCAAAAAGCTCAGTTTTTGCAGTCCAGGGCGCATGCGCGCGCCGCTGACCCCCAGCCCTTCCCGCGCCCGAACTGAACCTGGCGTTCGCCCCGCCGGGCGCCCCTGCCCCCGCAGGCCGACAAGCTGCTGTCCCCCGAGTTCCAGCCGCTGATCGAGCAGCTGATCTCGTTCCTGCCCGACGACCGCCAGATCATGCTGTTCAGCGCGACCTTCCCGGTCACGGTCAAGCAGTTCAAGGAGAAGTTCCTGCGCAAGCCCTACATCATCAACCTGATGGACGAGCTGACGCTCAAGGGCGTGACGCAGTACTACGCGTTTGTGGAGGAGAGGCAGAAGGTGCACTGCCTCAACACGCTCTTCTCCAAGGTGCGGCCCTGCTGCCCCAACAGAGGGCCGGCCGCGCCGCCGCCCCCCTTCCTCGAGGCGCACCCTGGCGCCCCACGTGCCGGGGAGACCCGCCGCTGACGCTCCTCCCGCCCCGCGCCGGTCGCCGTCCCCGCCGTCCTCCCCGCAGCTGCGCATCAACCAGTCGATCATCTTCTGCAACAGCGTCAACCNGCGTAGAGCTCCTGGCCAAGAAGATCACAGAGCTAGGGTACAGGTGCGACGCGAAAGCATTGGCGCCTGCGCACGCTGGCCTGCGCCAGGAGCCCCACAGTCGCCGGCGGCCCCTCCTGCGCGGTGCTATCGAGCTTCTGGGAGGCTCTGCGAGCGCGGCAGCCGCCCTTTGTCCGCGCTTCCAGCACGCCCCCCTATGCCAGGCGCCGCAACCTCTTGCTCAATGCACACACACACACACACACCAGCGCGTTTTGTCTCCCGTTCAATCACGCTCGCCCTTGCGCTCTCGTGCACTCACTCGCGCGCGCGCCCCGCAGCTGCTTCTACATCCACGCCAAGATGCTCCAGGCCCACCGCAACCGCGTGTTCCACGACTTCCGCAACGGCCTGTGCCGCAACCTGGTGTCCTCAGACCTCTTCACGCGCGGCATTGACATCCAGTCCGTCAACGTGGTGCGCACACGGTCGTGCATATCACGGCAACACGGCCAGCGTTGCGCGTGCTTGCAACCCCCTGCCTCCTCAGAGCTCCACCCCAGCACGCCCTTGCCACCTGCACGCTGTCCTCTGCGCGCCCCCTCGTGCAACCCTCACCCCAACTCTCACACACACACACACACACACACACACACACGCACACACAAACAGAAACACTGCAAACCCGCAAAACCACACCCGTCGACCGCCAGGTCATCAACTTTGACTTCCCCAAGAACAGCGAGACCTACCTCCACCGCGTGGGCCGCAGCGGGCGCTTCGGCCACCTGGGCCTCGCCG